AGTTGTGCTCATCATTTCTGAGATCTGTAGCACCAGAGAATATGATACCATAAGTCTGTAATTTTCAAACTTAAACAATATATTTCATTGGATTGGTGACCAAACTAATTTTTATGACATGTCATTTCAGTAAGGACATTGCTTTATTTCGCAGAAGGGTTTCCCATAGATAATGGTTGTTAGCTGGCTGAGTTGGAATCTGGCAGGATTAAGGAAATCTAAACTGACAGCTGGTTTTGTGCAAGGAAGCATAATGTGGCTGTTGTTACAAGAGGCAGTGTGGGATGTTTGTGCACAAATGCATGACAAGAGGGCTTGCTCTTAGCGGTATATGTAAGTGCAGCATAGCAGTTAAAGCAGCATATCCGGGCTAAATGCCTTGCAGAGAAAACTGTATGCGACCTTTTCATCATAAACATTTTGTGGTTATGAATATGGTTATGTTTTTACTTTCCCTGTAGTTGTCAGGAGCAGATGTTTGAATTCTGGTCAAAATAAAAAGGAGCTACATTGCTGATTATCTTAAGAAGAAGCCAAGAGAGCTCACCATGAAAGAGTGAGGATCCATAGCTAGAGGAACAGATTGCTTCCCCACATAACAACCCTGCTCTTATTCACGACTGAAGCAGTGTGTCCTACCAGAAACAGCACCTCAGATGCTCATGTTTCACACCCCAGCTCCTAGGTTTTATTTTCTCTGAGCAAACTGCCCAGCAACTGATAAGCACGGACATTTGAACACAAATGCCGTTTCAATGGGACTGCGCAGCTCAGCGCTCAGAGGCACCACTGCCACTTCTGCTGAACTCAACAGGCTCTGAGGCAGCCACCGGCACTGAAGGTGGCCGTCTGGACTTAGAAAGCATTTCTCAAGGTTTTTTTAGTCAGAAGAGATTTTACCAATTGAGCTCACAACAGAAAAATCTTAGAAATTTGCTCTATTACAGCTCTGTGTAAAATCACAGTCTGTGTTTCAGCATGTTTTTGCAAAGGCTTCAAACTTCTGCATCTTTGACAAATACCCCAAAATAATATTTAATTTCCATCAGTGTCAGTGAGGACATAGCTGAGGCCACGATTTATGAAGTGCTCAACACAATGCTAATGACATTCTGGTAACACAGATATGATTGAGGCATAAACGTATTCATGTGGAACTGATAATTGTCAGCATTGGCTAAAACAAAAATGGGAAAAGTGTTCAGAAGCAATGAAAGCAGACAGACAGGTTAAAGGCAAGACAGTGATACAGGCTGAAAGCACAAGAGGTGGTTACTGGCATAAAGCAGGGTACTGCAGAGCAGGGCAGAGGGTAGACAAAACATCAGGTGGTCCTTTGCCCATGAATGCTGTGAACCTACAGTGCGCATTGCCCTTAATCTGGCAGGGAGGTCACAGCTATTGGGCTGGGTGACCAAAGACATTCAGAGCATTTGGGGCAGACTGGAGCTCAGGTGGCCTTAGGGGTTCAGTCTGGACTTCTGCACCTCCCAAGCCCCAGAGCAGACTGCCCCAGAAAGAGAGCTATTCCTCAACATGGAGTGTCAGGAACCCCATGCTGGTCTTCATGCTGGAGTTCCATGCCGGAGGGCCCCAACGTACTGTTGTAAACCTAAGACAGATGTGCCCACAGAGGTGCTGTCCCAGGTGACTTAATCTCAGGACTTCCACATCTGGCCATCCTCAGTAAAGAGGCTGCTTCCAGAGTGGGAACATGGGGCTAAATGCATCCCTCCCTGTCCTGCAGCTCCAGCATTGGAGGCATCTTTAACCCCCCTCAGCCATGCCCTGCAACATGGGTTGCAGGATGACACAATTACATGACATGACATGATTCATGAGGCACCTTGCCTGTGAGGTTTTGCGTATATGCTGCTGTTTGGGATAGACACATATCACCAAATACTTTCATATTAACTTATGACATAAGCTCATAAATTGACATAAACTCATAAGTTAACATAAACTTAAGAGTAAAGAAAGAAGATTGGAATAAACAAGAAAAGTCCAAAAACCTACAGGCAAATCTGTTTGACATAAACTTTGTAGTATCATGCAGGTCCCTCAGAGTTGTATTTTTTTCCTTCACAGTTTGTGGATCCCTGATTTAAAACACAATATACTTGTGTTGAGCTTGCTGGAAAAATGTTCTGGTCTTTTACTGTGGAAATATACCAAGCTGCTGTACTCCTATGTCAGAATAACCTGTTCAACCCCATTAACTCCAGTTAGCATGTAAGCACAATTAATCCAGCTGTTTCACCCGCACATTAAAAAAACAGCTTGTCTTGGTTTTCTTACTAATTTTGAAGTAAAAAGTGCATGGATTAATAATATGTGATTATGTTATCTTTTCACTGAAGGAGCAAAACAGCAAATCTTTGACCTTAACATATGACTCTGAATGCAGAAAGTGTGCTAAAAGTTTACTTAAATGATACAACTGCTGAAAAAGTGTAACTGAACTTGTTATTTTCAAAACAGAATCCTACTGATATTTTCACAACTAAGCCTTTGCAAAGCATTTTTGAGCATAGGCCACTTAAAATTGTAGAGCTGCTTCTTGCTTTCTAATGAAATCAAGAAACCATCCAGACTTGCCACAAACGTAAACAAGCACCAGGAACTCATGTGGAAGCTGGAAAGACCCATCATCCAGTTTTGTTTCCTGAATAAACAGGCTTTGTGAGAATCAGGATATAATTTTAGGGATGGCAGCCATTCTCCGCTCCATGGGCCTGACTGAACACATTTTAATGAGAAAATCCCAGTTCACTGGAACTGATTAATTCCACATGTTTTCTTGTTTCCTGCTCATCATGTTCACCTTCATGGTTCCCACCCAGATTTCAGCTGGGAATGGAGACACAGCCTGGGCTCATGTGGCATCCAAAGGCCAATGCTGAACCAGTGCATGGGGTGTCACAGCACCCGACTGCCCCTTGAGACCTGCAACAGTGCAGTAGATGCAAGTTGCCCACCAGCTCCAGAGCTGCATTGTGGTGGACCCTGCCCATCCCTGACAGATGCAGGGATGGTTTGAAAGCGTCAAATATGGTTTGAAGTAGCGATGCTTTGAAAGCTCCCTGCTTTCCTCCTGCACCCCTCGGTACACTGTTCCAACAGGCTGGCTCTTGTGATTTTACAAACATCCGCCAGTTTCTAGTTTCTGCAGACTCACCTTTGAATCACTGGGCTCAATTTGCCTCTTGATTGCGAATCCTGCTAGATTTAAATATTTTCTCCCACTGTTGTCAATTACAGACCAGGATCAAGTTCCTTCTCTGTTTTCTCTCAATACACAAAAGCTGACTTTCTAAGGTTATATGGTTGGATTTTAGTCTAAGTGTGAAAAATGTACTTAAAAAACTTTACTGTTGGCTACATTATGAATTTAAAATATGAAAAATGCAGAAAAAAATCAGAAACTACTTTTAAAGACTTTTGTTTGCAGCTCAAGGCGTTTATTCTATAGAAACCTGGGAAGAGAGCACAGTTGTTAAAAGGTGCCATGTATTCAGTGTGTGGTGTTGCTGCCCATGGCAGGGGGTTGGAACTAGACAATCTTAAGGTAATTTCCAACCCCAATTATTCTACGATTCTATGATTCCATATAGTTGGATATCTATTTATTTTATGAACTATTCTACAAGCAGCAGCAAATGTGTACTCAGGAAAACTGCCACAGGAAAAAGAAAGTTCAAAAAATTATTTATTATTTGCTTAAGCATCAGCACAAAAAAATTAAGATCAAGCAATCTTCTAATACTGAAAAGGCTATTTAGATTAGATTGGCTAGTTTTACAGTTCAAAACTGGTCTAAAGTCAGAACAGAAAAAGTTCAGTGATAACTTTTAATTTAACAGGTTTTGGTATTGGAATATCTTAAACTGTAGGTGGCTTAGGCCAAGGGTGTTCCTTCCGTATTGAAAACAGCTTCCCAGTATATTGTTGTATTTCTTTTAAATGAGTATAACAGTCATTGACTCTGCTCTGTGCACAGCATAGCTAAATGAAGTGAGAGATTTTGCAACAACCAGCTGTCCTGTGTAAAGAAGGAAGTAAAAAATGACTATTCCAATAAATCAACTGAACGGTAGAAATGGGAAGGAAGCAATGGGAAGGAATAAAAGAGCAATAGAATTGGATTTTGATGAATTTAAGTTTAAAGTAGAGACCTGTCTATCTAAAATTGTCAGTGAACGTTCTCAGCACTATCAGCCCAATTAAGCATTATTAGAGGATTTAACCCAAAGCTTTTTGATTCCTGCAAACACCCCAAAGAACGAGGTGGTTGTTTCCCAAAGGTGTTGTCAGAAAAACACAGAACCATAGAATAATGTGACATCCTTCTAGTAACCTACTAACCCTTTTCTAACCTACTGGGTGACACCGAAACAGTCACTTCCTCTCCCTTGTCCAGCAGGGTTGTGGAGGCCCCCCATGGCAGAGATTGCTGCTATTTGTGTGAGCCCAGCTGTGGTCCCCAGGGACCCTGTGACACGGAATGCAGCAGTGACCCCTTCTCACCCCGCAGGAAGGACAGAGCGGTCCCCGAACAGGCAGTAGCCACCTCCCTTTGTGCTGTGCTTTCACAGATGAAGTATTTTTCTCTCTTAAATCCCCCTCTTGCAGCCGGGTGCCAGCGCAAGGCTGCTGAGCTCTCCCCAGGAGCCTCCCTGCGCCCGGGTGCCACGGGGAGAGGCTGAACTGGGAGGCCCTGACCTCTGCTGGTCAAGAAAGAGCCCATTCCATAAGGTGAAAAAAGGAGGAAAAATGAAAGGGTGCGCTAACCCTGGTGCATTTCTGGCTAAATTCTGGCTGCTTGGCTAATCCCTTCCTACTTTCCCAAGGGAATACCGTGTTGGGCACGGAAAGAGCTGCTCGGTGTTTCCATGGGCATCCAGCAGCTCCTGTGGTTGCTCTTCTATGGATCAATTATTTCAGAAGCATGGTTTGCCAGGATTCATCTTGCAAGGGGTATCCCTTTTCTGTTGCAGGCAAACTTTACATGCTGGGCTGAAATTTTCTATGCTGTGGACCTTACCTCACCCTGGACCATTTTTACTCCTAGAATTCTCATTCTGAAATAAACTATTTTGAATATCCAAAAATAACTGTGCCATGACTGAAATGTTCTCTGGGAAGGTTTAAACTCTGAAGCTCTGGAAAGGCAGGAAAAGTATCACCTGAATTTTTACAGAGGTAAGTCAACAGTGCTTTGGCAGGAAGTGTGATTTTTCGTCAAAGCTAGAGACCAGTCAAATCTAGTTTACACATGCTTGATAGCTCCTCACATGTTTCGGCACTTTTTCTACTGAAGATTTTGCCCACTACCATGTGTGTCTAGTCTGAAGCTCTGCAGGATTTTCCCTGTGGTCTTAACCATGGCTTCCTTGGGTAATATCGAGTCTCTAAGTCCCACCCTGGGAGCTGGTTGACAAAAATAAGGACTGCATATACAAATTGTCTAAATGAGGGAAGAAGGTTGAAGACAAGTGAGGGGTGACAACACAGAAGGGTCACACTGGGGAGGAACAGTATGTGCTCATGTCCCTTACCCTCCAGGGCCAGAATCAGAACTCCCTACGCTCTCAAAACTCATGGTCAGACCTTGCAAGGCATTTTTGGTCACTGCTGCTCCTCCAGAGCACACAGAGTTACATTAGAAGAACAAGTTAAACATCCAAAGCCTGAGATGCCCAAACAGGCTATGAGACCTTAACTCCCTTTCTCCTCAGGCCCTTCCACAACGCAGGATGGAGTCCTCAGTTACTGACCATATACAGTTTCCCCACAGGACACCTGCCTGGCAGGGCTCAGCTTTAGGGTCATTCTGGAAAAACAGATTTTTCCTCGTCTCTGCTCTAGAGTCAAATCACTTTAGCATAACATCTTCCAGATGGTCTGATATTCAGTGCCTGGCTTGAGACCTTCAGACCCAATTGAAATAAATGCTGAGTATTCACAGCTGTACCGAAATCACTGCTACTTTTAGCACTGTATAAAGCTGAACACGGGAAGAAAGCATATCCTTAGTGCCTCAAAACTGAGGCTCCACAGTAGTGGTCAATCTTCATTCCAGCTTGTGAGTACAACCTTCTTCCTCTTAAAACACTCAGAAAAGACACTTTATTTCTCTAAGGTGGGAAGGGCTGTATTGCTGCAAAATGACAGTGTCTTTGTACTTTATTTAAGAATGGAGATACAGCAAAGTTATCAGATTAGCTTTTAGTTCTGCTACAATATATTATGGATTTGAGCTTAATGAAAAGTAATCTGTGAAAGGATTTTGGTTGATATAAACAAAGGAAAGCACAGTTTGTCCTGATCTCCTTTGCACAAAAGAATCCAAATCTAATTGATCGGCACTTTTGATGTGGTAGAGGGAGTGAATAGCCAAAAATACACATAAGATATGTGTACTGAGTTTATATTTAAGGAAAGTGTAGTGCAATGAGAATTGTCCATACATAGAGATCAAAGTCAATGCATTGGGCAAAAGGATAAAAGAAATTATTTCTATCTTGTGTTCAGCCAAGCCACAAGATGCAAGTGTGCTATTGTGTCACTTTGATTTCAAAGACTTATCCTTGGTGCCATCTTAAGGCATATCAAGGATAAGAGGGTTATGAGGGGCAGTCAACATGGCTTCACCAGGGGGAAATCATGTTTGACCAATCTCTTAGCCTTTTATGAGGAAATAACACGGTGGATGGATGATGGCAGAGCGGTGGATGTGGTCTACCTTGACTTCAGCAAAGCATTTGACACAGTCTCCCACAGCATCCTCACAGCTAAATTGAGGAAGTGTGGACTGGATGATCAGGTAGTGAGGTGGACTGCGAACTGGCTGAAGGAGAGAAGCCAGAGAGTTGTAGTCTATGGGGCTGAGTCTAGTTGGAGGCCTGTAACTAGTGGAGTGCCTCAAGAGTCAGTACTGGGACCGGTATTATTTAATACATTCATCAATGATTTAGATGAGGGAATTGAGTGTACTATCAGCAAGTTTGCTGATGACACTAAGCTGGGAGGAGTGTCTGACACGCCAGAAGGCTGTGCTGCCATCCAGCGAGACCTGGACAGGCTGGAGAGTTGGGCAGGGAGTAACTTGATGAAATATAACAAGGGAAAGTGTAGAGTCCTGCATCTGGGCAGGAACAACCCCAGGTTCCAGTATAGGTTGGGAAACGACCTGTTAGAGAGCAGTGTAGGGGAGAGGGACCTGGGGGTCCTAGTGGACGACAGGATGACCATGAGCCAACGCTGTGCCCTTGTGGCCAAGAAGGCCAATGGCATCCTGGGGTGTATTAGAAGGGGGGTGGTTAGTAGGTCGAGAGGGGTCCTCCTTCCCCTCTACTCTGCCCTGGTGAGACCCCATCTGGAATATTGTGTCCAGTTCTGGGCCCCTCAGTTCAAGAAAGACAGGGAGCTGCTGGAGAGAGTCCAGCGCAGGGCAACTAAGATGATTAAGGGAGTGGAACATCTCCCTTATGAGGAAAGACTGAGGGGGCTGGGTCTCTATAGTTTGGAGAAGAGGAGACTGAGGGGTGACCTTATTAGTGTCTATAAATATATAAAGGGGGAGTGTCACGAGGATGGAGCCAGGCTCTACTCAGTGGCAAACAATGATAGGACAAGGGGTAATGGGTACAAACTGGAACACAAGAGGTTCCACTTAAACTTGAGAAGAAACTTCTTCTCAGTGAGGGTGACGGAACACTGGAACAGGCTGCCCAGGGAGGTTGTGGAGTCTCCTTCCCTGGAGACATTCAAAACCCGCCTGGACACATTCCTGTGTAACGTTATCTAGGTGTTCCTGCTCCGGCAGGGGGATTGGACTAGATGATCTTTCGAGGTCCCTTCCAATCTCTAGCATACTGTGATACTGTGATACTGTGACTTCATTATTAAGAAGTTAATACTCAATAGCAGTAGATACAGGTACAACAAACTGTGCTACTTTCCAAAGTCTACATCCTGCAAAGCTTCTGTATTTGTGTTCCTAAATGCAAACCAATGAATCAAAACCAGACTAAAACCAAGCTCATAAGAATTTTTATAGATTATAATAAGCACCTTCCTGTACAGTAGTGGTACAATGAGCATGCATCTGTATGCATTGCAGTGTGCAATGCATGCTCAAATAGTATGTCACAGAAGATAAATACTAAAACATTGTTAAGTACAGACTGATTATATACCCCCAAACTGACAATCTGGCTAAATTTTCTTCCTGGAAAGGCCCCTAGACTTAGAAAAGTGGGTGTTTTCATAATGTGTGGATTGCAGAACACAAGAGCAAATTTTTTCTATGGGGTTTATACAAAACCATATTCAAGAACTTACCTACCTGCGGGAGTGGAGTTACCATGTTTGCATGTACAAATATGCATGCTGTTCACCAAAAAACTGCACTTCTCAAAAATTGAATTAGCAAATGTTCATGCAAAGTCATAACCCATCCAATATTGTCATGAGGAAGTTTGAGATGTCCTGTGTTAATCTCTGCCTTTCATACCTAAAATGTAGCCAATAGTGTCCTTCAAATATGGCACTTAAATTCTAAATAAGGAAGCAGAATTGAGTCCTTGACATTATTTAAATCATAAGAGGCATTGAATGTAGGGAGAAATCTTTATAATATTTTACTGAATATGGATAATGCTTAGAGCCAGTTGAGGGTTATGTGTGACATGATTCCCAGCAATGAAATACCCCTGAGAAAAGGTTATAATTAATCACCAAGTTTTGTTTTACCACCCAGCTAGATTTTTATTTTTTCATGCTGAGAGACTTCAGAAAGGGAAAACAGACCTTGAAAAGACTATGTCAAGACATACTTGCTTAATTTGGCTTTGAATTTGCTCGTGCTTCAAAAATTATTCTGAACATCTGGCTTCTTTGCTCGTCAGAGAGAGCATGTTTTATTGTTTTGACTTTGTGGCAAGAAAAAATGAATGTATTGTAGTCTGCCATACGATGAAAGTCCACTGCGACAGTAACAGTTTGCAAGAACTGAATATGACATCATGTTACTCGTGATATGCCTGTGTGTGCACTTGTCTGTGTTGCCTACAGTAGAAATTGTTTTCCCAACAGATCTGAAACCACACACAGGAACCCCACCACCATGGGCAGTGAGGACTGCAGTACCTGCCTAGCCCCATGATGGACAACTCAACCCAGACAGGGACTTACAGGTAGGAAGAGTGATTTGGCCAGATAAGAAATAGTTCTTTTCTCTAGTGATGCTCAAAAAAGCTTAAAGATCAGAGTGATCAAGACTTTGCTTCATGAGATACCAGCCTCTGCTCCATTCCTATCCAAACAGTCATCCTCAGGTTTGGCTCCCTTGACTTCCTCCCCATAGTCATTTGTTGAGGAGAGGGACAATTTTGAAGCCCCATGGAGACTTTCAGTCTGTTCAACTGGCCAACAGTTCACCTCCTTGTATGCAGAGAGATCAGAGACTTCTCTGTGCTCCTTTCGTATTCCTCAGAGATGTTTCCATCACAGTCACTCATGCCTGCTGCCAAACACATTCTAGCAGCAGGTTTCAAGGCTGTGCTCATAGCACCTGCCCCACTGATGTGGACAGCAGGATGTCTGGGATGAAGAGAGGCCAAGCAGAGACAGAGGAGGGATTAATGGCAGAGCAGGGCTGGCAACTGGCACTGTCTGCAAAAGGCACTGTCTCAAGAAGGACCTTCTTGTGAGACCACACAAGAAGGTCCCTGTAGAGCTGTCATTGCAATGGTCTCATCTCTTCCATGCTGTTCCTGCTTGGGTCCAATTTTCATAAGTCGTAGAAAGGTTTGGGTTGGAGGGGACACTAAAGCTCATCCAGTTCCAATCCCCTGCCATGGGCAGGGACACCTTCCACTAGACCAGCTTGCTCCAAGCCCCATCCAACCTGGCCTTGAACACTGCTGGGGATGGGGCAGCCACAGCTTCTCTGGGCACCCTGTGCCAGGGCCTCAGCACCCTCACAGAAAACTTTCTTTTTTTTTCCTGTTTTTAATAGTTTTAGGGTTTTTACACATTTGGGAAAGGGGGGTTAATTACATTTTAAATCCTGATTTTCACATGGTCTTTTCCATGCAATTTAGTTCCATATATATGCGTAGGTAGAAGCTAGCACACATTCAGTGTGCCTCACTTCTGCATGGGTTATTCATAAGAAACACTCGTGATCTTCAGTATTACGTACCCAATGCAAGGATCATGAAACCTGCAAATGACAGTGGGAAGGAGGGAACTCCCTCTTCTAGGACTCCTGAGCTCCCCCAACCAAAGTGACTGTCTCTGAAGCAAGCTGACTTCCCAAACGCGTGCTGACTAAAAGTGCCGCTGATAGGAACAAAAGCTACACTGTTACCGTGTGCCAAATGTGTCAGGGAGGCCAGGGGCAAGCTGGGCTGTGTGAATGGCAGCCCTCCCTCGCGGCTCCTGGCACTCGCATGGGGCTCCCTCCATCCCCACCCACAACCGGAGACTGCCGGCAGACTCCACAGTGAGTATGCCCTGTAGAGAACACGCTCCATGCAGCCAAAGGCTAGTGCTGGTTTCCAGAAGCCCATGGAGGAGCCATTTACAACTTGTTTTTCCCCTACTGTAAGCGTCAGCTGCACAAGTCTTGACAGTTGACCTGGGTGGATCTCAGTAGACCTAAGTAACTTCCTCCATCAATCTCTGCTAACAATAGGCCTCTGTAAAGCCATATAAAGCACAGAACGGGTACTGCAGCATGCTAGTATGCTATTATTAAGGATTAGCACACTGAGAAAATGTTTTATACACCAAACCACTGCAATGTCTGGGACAAGACCAACATCCACTTTTACCCATTCAAAGCAATTCTGTTCTTCACAGGCAATCTCTACCTCTTCCTTTTTTTTCCACACAAAACTTGGTCACTGGAGGCAGGCAGGAAGTGCAGTCAATATAAGCATAATTAAATATATTTGCTAATGATCTTTACTCCAGCCCTTGAAATATTCCTAAAGTAAAGATTTAGCCTCGCTGGATTTAGGATGTAGTAAAATTTTAAATGGGCACATGTTCTTCTGGGATAAACTAGTGTGAAAGAAGTTACATGAGATAGTATCAGTTGAAATTCAGTCCTAAACTTTACTCTTCTGGGGTTTTCCAAACAATAAAATCAGATGAAGTCTTGAATACTGATAAGAATGTCTGTGAGACCAGACAAGAAAGAACACCACTGGTTTTGCAGTCTTGTAAAAACTCTGGTTAAGTTATCAGATTTTAGTCAAACAATGAGTTTTGAGTTATTCACAATGGCAACTCAGAGGCTGAATCTATTTTTATATGGTTGCATTTCAAACTTCACTCTGTTTTTAAATCAAAGAGGAGACCTAAACTATTTCCAGACATTTCTCTGATTAGTTTCTCAGCAACAACATCTAACTGTATTAACACAGCTGTCAGAAGGGCCTTGCTTAATAAAATGTACCCTTTGTCCAGTTGAAGAAAAGAAAATTTTATTAGTTTGTGACCAGGGTATTTCTACAGATTCAATCTGCTTCCCTGGTTTATGTCGTTGCTCAGATCTGACTCTTGTCACTTTAGCATTTGTCTAGTTTAATTTCTTTAATATAAGTATCTAAAGTGATTATGGAGAGATACTAAACTGGAAGCTTATATGAAAGATCTTATTAAACAGCATTCCTGCATTATCTAAAACAGATGCAGCATTGTAAAACAAAAAAAGTATTTATTAAGACTCCAAAGCTGTCTTTGTCCATCTGCATAAATTGGCAGGTTGCATGAAGACCTTTTTGTTATTTATAAATAGAGTTATGCCCAAAATATAACTGCACAACCAAACAACCTCCAATTTAGAAATGATTAAAAACCTGGGTTGTGATATCCATCTTGCAGCTAAAGCCTGTCATTATTACCAGAGATTTTACTGCCTGCTTCTTCCAGTTCTTGTTGTTATTTTTTCTTACAAGCCAGCCTCCATTTAACCCTGACTCATTCATGTCATCAGCATCTTGCATATGTTATATCAGATAAATGTAGACATCCTCATCAGCCTGTGAAATACATATGCTCAAAGGACCCTAAGGCTAATCCATTAGCCCTTACCTCCTCAGAACAAGACTGGTCCTACACTGTTTTCTGCTTATAAAATACAATATACTGATCATTATACCTTATTGGTTTCAGCAATTACCCTGTAAATCCAGAGCCAGAAGACATCAAATGACCCTGTGCTGTCTCCTGCTTGGCTGTTGTCCAATACCTCCAGAATACCACAAGGTCTTCACTGAATTTTGTAAGACAAAATTCCTCTGGGTGAACCCTGCGCCTCAGTACTTTTGAATCAGATAGATGCACTGACTTCAGATCTGTTACCCCTGCTAAGCCCCAGAGCAGCAGCCCTACACAGAAGCACATAATAAAGCACACATAAAAACACACCAAAACCACATCCAAATCTTACAGAGTTCATCAGGTCTGTGAGCATGTGCCTGTCTGCCCCAGCTCTGCACCCACTACCTCTCCAGGCCTGAGAAAGCTATTCCATTTCTATGCAGTTGTCTCAAAACAGGTACTTAAGAACCCAATGTAGGGCCAAAGGTAAGAATTTTTACCAGTTTTCAGAAACTGCAGAATTAAAAGGGATGTACCCCAGTTTGATCAAGATTTCCTATACTTGAAGCTAAAACTCTTCTTTTCCACTTGCTGAGTGATTTGTAAAAATTTAGGGCCTCAACCCCAGGATCCAGTGTGGCACTTCTGCTCAAGATGGATACAACTCATAAGCTTCTTCTAGCATCTGATGCCAGCACCCAGAAAACTTATCTAGCGTTGGTAAAAAACTGAGGTTGCTATCACTGCCACGCTTCAGAACTGTTCTGTGCTTTACAATGACTGTATTTTCTCAAGCAATATGAGGAAATGACTGAAAGCACCATTCAGTGACTGCGAGCTGCCTGTGGTGAAACCCTTTCTCCATGGTAAATGCAAGGGGGCTTCTACCTGTTCCACTGTGAACCACAACCGCCTCAGCTCCCCACATTTGCAGGAGGATGAGACCACTCACATGCACCTTCCCTGTCAGGAAGTGGAGACCCATGAACCTGTGGTAATTTATTTGTGTGTTGAAGCCTGAAAGACTATTTCTTGAGCACATACTTGCAGCTTATAAAAGACTCTGTGAGGTAGCCACTGGCATGTAGCTCTGCAGGGAAAGAAAGTGAAAAAATAAAGTGGTAGTGTTTCCTATAGCCATGTAGTAGCACAGATATCCCTAGCTCCCTTAAGTTAGATAACATTGAAAAGAAGGTAAATAGCAACACTCTCTTTCTAACTTGATTTCAGGGCATTACCATGATTAGATACTTAGTCTCTGTTTATTTCTTAATTACTTAGGTGTCTTCTAATTATAAAGCAGAGGCTCCACAGTTGTTTCTGCATTCATCAACAAAAGCAAAAGGAGATGGGTGCTCTACCTGCATAGGAAGGGCTTGAATAACAAAACCCCATGCTTATCAGAAACCCCTGATTTTTGTCTTCAGAGCTCCAGCTAAAACCACTTGAGTTTCACCATAGTCAGAGAGCAGAGTGTGACACTGTGCCATTTACATTCTGTCTGCCTCTCTCCCATAGGAAAAAAAAAAGCTATAGTGAAGTTTCAACAACTGGTGTTTAACAGCTGGCAGCAGGCAGGTGGCATGACTTACTGGTGGCTCCAGGTGTCTCTGCTTAACACAGAACAGCACAGGCAGTCCTCGTCCACAGGAATCACTGCTGCTAATGACCCAATTCATTAACTGGTAAAGCTGCACATCAACAGTCCCCGTTGGTGGGAATGGGACTGGCTCTGGCACTTCTGCTCAAGATGGATATAACTCATAAGCTTCTTCTAGCATCTGATGCCAGCCGCCCAGAACACTTATCTAGTGCTGGTAAAAAAGAAATAGGTTGTTATCACTGCCATGCTTCAGAAATGTTCTGTGCTTTACAATGACTGTATTTTCTTTAGCAATGTCAGGAAATGACTGAGAACCTCATATCTGTGTATTAATTCTCCTTCCTCAAATCATGTCCAAATCAAACCAAACATCAGTTACAGTTACACAGACTTCTTAACAGTGCATATCTCTGATTAAGCTAGTTTGATGAGAAGCTGTTCAGTTTCACAGAGGCAAGTTATTAATGTTTTCTGGAAGGTTTTTCTAATTAAAGCTTGGCTTGCGTTATTTCTTTGTGGCATATGCGTGCATGATAGAAAATTCAGGGCAGATGGGCTTTTAAAAAAAATTTACATGGAATTGCATTCTTTAAAACTGGTTTTAGTGCTGCAGGGTTAAAATAAAGACTTTCTTGTACCTCAGGACACAGTACCTTAGTCCTTGCATCACTTTCAATGACCTTTCCATAGCCAGGTCTGCATGTGTCTGTTCATTCCCTTCTCCCTCAGATCTGCTGTTGGTCATATTCCCTTCTACAAAAAGTGATCAGTCATTATTAGTTTTCTCTCCACCTTTTCATTTTATTCTGCATCTGTCATTACAACAGACTTTGTTGGGGTGTCTGCACTGCTTTATTGAGACTTCGGGCTCTTTGTCAAGCTGCTTTGCACTACTCCTTGGATAACTTGATCTACCCATAGTTCCAAACCCATTACCCCTTGTCCTATCAGTACTATTCTTAGTCCAGTTCTCCGAATAGTCTTGCTGTTCCTGATCTTCTTCCCTCTATTGTGTTTCATCTTTTTTTTTTTCTTTTTTTTTTTCCTGACTTGCTTGAAGAGGTGCTTTGCTGACATCTTAACCTGACCATGGCTAAATCCTAACCCCATACAGAGTCACCAATGGATAGAGTTGTAAGAGCTGGCAAGCTATCTTCCTCCATTAACTCAAATAAATGTTCACCTATCATCATCTTCTCAATACTTTCTGGTACTTTTGCCACACCATTAGGCAGCCTCCTTTAACACTGGTAACACTTCTAAAGTTTTCCACCACACTCTTTCCTGCTGCAATGCACCATGATTTCTTCCCGTCCCTCGCCCAGCTGCTGTGGGATTCAAGTGATCCTTCTGCGCACACTGGAAGGGTGTTACCATGAATGTCTTCTCTTCCTCCTCAGTCTTCTCTTTGTCTTAAACTCTGCTCCTACCATGTTATGTTTTCCAGGCCTGCTGTAAAACATTTTTTTCTCTTTCCTCTGGTCTCCTGCAAATGTATTTACACCTAAAAATTCAAGACATAAAAATCAGACTTCCTGAGAGGCTTCTCAGGATTGTGCGGTCTTATTATCTAGCCTTACATATGGCTTTTCTGGCTTTGTTTCTCTCAGCTCCCCCCTTTTACCATTTTGTGCTACTACTATAACCTATCACCTTGGTGCACGGCATTTACTGACAAATCCAAATCTACAAGACTACACAAGATGGCTTCTCATATCTTGATTAAGAGGATGAGAAAATGTACACTATTTGCCTTGAACTTCCCTGTGAAAAGAGTGAAGTTTTCTAAGGTTACCCCAAGGCAACAGTTATGCTTGCAGCCTATAAAACTGATTTATAAACTCATTGGCCATCTCAATTCTCATTACTCTAAGTGAAAAACCAAACAAAACAAGCCCCACTGGACACAATTTTCTCCTCCCTTCAGCATTATTCATAAACGTGGTTGCCTGAAAGGAAGTTTTAAATCACTCTCTGTTATGGATTCCCTTCTGTATGGTTAGTACTTGCAAACTGCAGTGCTTCTTGAATCTTCCCTTTCTTCTATCATCATTTAAACAGCTGACAGTTCTAATTATTGTTCTCATAGGCAAGGACTTAATTAACCTAATCAGCCTGCCATGGAGCTGACAGGTATGTTTTCTGTCAGAGTTAGGTCAAAACATGTAATCTGCAATGAATAGGAGTTCTTTTTCAGCTGCTCTGGCAGTGGTTCAGCACATCTATGCCTCTCCTCAGGCCACTGAATCGTGTGACCTTGCAGTTCACAATGAAGAGTGACAATTATAAAGTGTATGTCAAAAAGCTAGTCTTCTCTGACCCAGTTTCCAGACACAACGTGATGGATAGATGCCAGTGAAGCAGCAGCCTGCTTTATCAAACAGTAACAGGGCCAAAGCAGAGGGCAACATTTTTTCAGTATTGCTCAGAAACGATCACTGACCGAACAGAGCCACACAGAGAGCCTTGGTTTTTAGGGTATAACTAGGAGATACAGGTAAGACCACACTGAGAGGCTCTCCTAAGCACTCCTGGGTACCCGTGCCTCTACTGACTTAGCACCCTGACCTCTTTCTGGACATGGCTAAAGGCAGCAATCATAGAATCATAGAATCATAGAATCATAGAATCGTTAGGGTTGGAAAGGACCTTAAGATCATCTAGTTCCAACCCCACTGCCATGGGCAGGGACACCTTACGCTAAACCATACCACCCAAGGCCTCATCCAACCTAGTCTTGAACACTGCCAGGGATGGAGCATTCACAGCCTCTCTGGGCAACCAATTCCAGTGCCTCACCACCCTAACAGGAAAGAATTTCCTCCTTATATCCAATCTAAACTTCCCCTGTTTAAGTTTTAACCCGTTACCTCTTGTCCTATCACTACAGTCCCTAATGAAGAGTCCCTCCCCAGCATCACTATAGGCCCCCTTCAGATACTGGAAGGCTGCTATGAGGTCTCCACGCAGCCTTCTCTTCTCCAGGCTGAACAACCCCAACTTTCTCAGCCTGTCTTCATACGGGAGGTGCTCCAGTCCCCTGATCATCCTCGTGGCCCTTCTCTGGACTTGTTCCAACAGTTCCGTGTCCTTTTTAAGTTGAGGACACCAGAACTGCACACAATACTCCAGGTGAGGTCTCACAAGAGCAGAGTAGAGGGGCAGGATCACCTCCTTCGACCTGCTGGTCACGCTCCTTTTGATGCAGCCCATAATACAGTTGGCTTTCTGGGCTGCGAGCGCACACTGAAGCCGGCTCATGTTCAGTTTCTCATCGACCAACACCCCCAAGTCCTTCTCCGCAGGGCTGCTCTGAATCTCTTCTCTGCCCAACCTGTAGCTGTGCCTGGGATTGCTCCGACCCAGGTGTAGGACCTTGCACTTGGCATGGTCAAGTGGCATCAGCCCACCTCACAAGCGTGTCGAGGTCCCTCTGGATGGCATTCCTTCCCTCCAGCGTATCAACCGAACCACACAGCTTGGTGTCATCAGCAAACTTGCTGAGGGCGCACTCAATCCCACTGTCCATGTCAGCGATGAAGATAATAAGACGACAATCACACAAGTCCTTTTGCAAGCCATGTCTGCTGTGTATTGTTAGGAATGAGTTGCTACTCTCTTCCTGGTAGACTCCCTTTCTGCTCTGCTATCACAAAGTCAGGGAGGGAGATACTGGCTAGAGAAAACTGCGACAATCAGTCTCTACCTTTCCTTGCCCCAGCCCTCTTTGAAGTTGGAGCTGCTGCATGGCAGAGTGGGAAGTCCAGAATGATTTTTACTAACTTGGTGGTTTACCCTGGGCTAAAAATAATACACCATACTACACATCCTGACAAAGTCTTATGAATATACAGCTGAACTGAAATTAATCCAGTTAGGCAGTTACGTATAAATAAAAATACATAAAAAGCATTTATAGAAATAGATTCTTTAATGCTTTCTATTTTTTCAGTTGCTTAATTCCTGTGTGTTCTTCACTTCCTTATTTCTAAAGGAATTTCAATACAGAAAAAAAAAAACAAGCCTAGAAGTAGCATTTCTCTCATATTTTCATACCTAAGAACAGTTCAGCTATTCCCAACAAGTCCATAAATAGCAAAATGTATGGTTTGCATGATTGCTCCCTTTTCAAAAGTGATAGTTGAAATCCTAGCTTGCAGGTCAATATTAGTTAATTATACCAAAAGACTAACTCAGGGAGCATACAACAGTCAAGGCTGATCCTGCGTGTCCTGTTGTTCTCTACTGGCCACTGTGTTTGGTCTTCCTGTGTCAGCTTTGGTAGCTTCAGCCCAGGAAAGGTCTCTTTTAGCTCCTATAGGAGGGAAATGCCTTTTGACAATCAGCTGTCTGGATTTTGCCCTTTCTGAATGGCAAGGTACTGCGATAGCTAGTTTGCTTTCAGGCCCAGCCTGCTCTCCTTTTTGTCAGCACTGCTTGCTTTGGCACACTTAAATCATACAGCAGTAGCAAGCGGCAAGTCAGACTTCTCTGTGTGGGCTTTATATGTAGCAAAGGCATAAAGTCACAAAGTCAGACTTAAGCATGGGTTCACTCTGGCTCTGCATTGTACCTGACTGCTTCCAAAGAGCCTCCTCTACCCCTGAAGAGAGGTGCCAGTGTAAAGCCATCAGAAAGATCAAGGTCAATAGTAGTTTAACACATGTTCTT